ATGTACAGATTACACGTTCAGTAGGCTGTGACATCTTTAATAGATATGAGCGTACATCAACGTATTTCCACATTAATATCAAGAAAGGTATTGCATGTGAGTTACGATTCTTGGCCACGTCTAATAACAGTGGCGAGTGACATTTGAACTGGCCCTGGAACCGGACCCCTCGCCCCCTGCCTCACCAAGATGCCACTGGCCAGCGTGGCGATGCATGGTAAAGACAAGCCTCATGGATCGATACGGTTTGGCGAGACCCTTCATCAAACAGTGACATTGGCACAGCTCGCAATTGTTGTTATGATTATTTAAGCCACAGAAAGGGCGGTTATGTAACGGACGCATGGAGGAGGACGCGATGAAACGCGTTGTTAAATGAAAACAAGCTCACGAAAAAAAGCGTGAAAATTCTATTGAATTAATGAGTCATACTTCCTCTATGGCCATTGCATAAACGCGCTGCATGCTTTGTTGGCGCATGTGTGTAGTTTATTCATGTGACCTTTGCGATTTTGAGCACTGTTAATGTGGATCACAATTATGAAGTAAGGCGGATTATGAAAATTACCTAGAATTGAATGCTCTCAGAGAGTTCAATTTGAACAGAACTGGATAATTGATGTGCAGCGTTGTGGGATGCAATTGCATGAATGACGCTATCTAAAATGTCATTATTATTACTGTTTTAATGCCAAGGGAAAACACGAATGTTTACAATCAGAAATATGGACACCGTGGTTGAAAATAGAAAACAGATGAAAGTAGGTGCGCAAATATGCATGGAGAGATGCATGATTGAAATTACAGAGAAATGAACACCTGGATCAGGAAACGGACTCAAAACAGAGACAATACGTTGACTGATAATTGTTTTTTTACCCTTTTATCTGGCAACAAAACTGACACTTTTTTTTACAAGGAGTCATGTTTGCATTGTTGCCAGATAAAAGGGTAAAAAAAAACAAGTATCATATTTTGCTACTGGCAAAGGAGGTTCCAAATGAGTACGCTAACTGTTAAGGAAAATAAGTGGGCTTGGGTAGGACACGTTATGGCTGGAAGGAATAATGTCCAATAGGCGAGACTTGTGAATACATTGGGTAGACAAAGAAGAGTATTTGCCCCAAGGACAACCGCCATTTAGACAAAGTAATACGATCACTTATTGTGAATTTGGCATGGCAGGAACTGTGACGAATGTTGACGGGTTGGGGAGGGCGTCATCCAGCAGTAGATATATCATGGCTGATGATGTGCAGGAGTGAGATTCGTTGTGGAGTTGCAGAACCACGAGGGATGTACACGGCTTATGGGGCTCTTCACCCAGCAGTGGATAGACAAAAAGGCTGCGAATGGTGAGATATCCATCGCCTTTGCGATGCGAAAGGAGCATAAAGTACACCCATCGCTTCCCTTAGGGCACAATTAGAGCACCCGGTCACAAAAGCACCCACGTAGTGCATTATTAAAAGTGGTGTTGGCGTGAGCAGGCGGGATTAAGGGCGTCTGTTGGGGGGGGAAGGGTGGGGGGTGTTGGTCTGTTTTTAGCTCGCAGCCTTTCTGCGAGCGTCGTGGGTTTCGTGGCCAGCTGCCGCGTTCCCTCCGGTGTGGTATGCGGAGCAAATATCCCACATCATTCATTCACTCGGCATTCCAGGTGTCCCCGTGCGTAAAGGACACGGTTATCGCTCAATGGGCTCTCACCTGTGCTCATGTACGCGGGATGCAAAGCAAAGTGCCGTAATTCGACAAGCTTGGAATTTATTTTCCACTATTCTTTGTGTGCCATGTTCTATCCACCGCTTGATTAAGGCCTCCGTACACCCGAGGCAACCCTCAAACTCCTGCGATGCTAGAATGTATTTCAGTCCTGCACATCATCATCAGCAGCTATTGTTTAGCCACTGCCGGATGAAAGTCTTCCCATGCCGTCGCCGTCATCCCTGTCGATCGTGTATGATGCCACAATCCATCTCACTGCTGCACATGAGCGGATCTCATTGCTCTACCTCTAAGGCGGTGGATCTACTCTCGGGCAAATTATCCCTTTCGGTCATTGTTCATTCGCATCCATTTGTCACCATCCTCTTGCTTTACGCAAAAACAACCCTTTAATGCCGATATTTGATCATTTTACTGCTGGCTATTCCAAGTGAGTCATATTGTCCCGTCTGCTGTAATCATTCCAGAAACTCAGTGTTCTATTAGCCTCAATGACTTTCTTCCAACTCTCCTGGGAGTCACATTTGTAAAACAGGAATGACAATGACCACATTTTCAGCTGGTCACCGATTAAAATAAAAAAGGGATCTGCTGATGACAAGTTGTGTGCTACTGGAAGGCAGATGGTCCTTTATGCAATCATGTAGCATGTATATATATGCCGCAGACACCATATGTTGGTGCAGGGCTTAAGTTCATAAACACTAAAGGTAGAGCTTGCATTACAGCACGAGAGAAAAGTATTCCTTGGCATCTGGTAAGAATTCCAAAGTTCTCGTGTTATCAATCATGCCTATATTTTTAGAAGCTATTGCGCAATACCCAGAATGGCACGCATCTATAAACACTGTCCATGACGACACGGTTGTGGGTAAAAGTGTTCTTTCCAGGACGTGTCATATTTGGGGAAATATGAAATATGACCCTTGAGCAACAGTGTGCATGGACTTTTGGGGGAGGAAAATGCTGTTTGCGTACAAAACTCCGACAGTGACGTAGTAAGTGTTTTCGGTAATGCAAGCCATAAACATGCGCAATACTGTGAAGGAGACGCGCATGCTTGTAATGACACGAACAGACATACAGAGGAACGCATGAGTCAATGGTAAAAAATAAGTATAACCCGTAAAAACAAAGTTTTTCACTATAAACCCTTTATATGCGTGGCGGCTAGAGTCCTCTCGTCCTCTGGCTTGAGATGGCTGCCACCTATGGGTCAGATGATTGCCTGCCACAATTAAGCAATTGGTAATTAAATATCTTTTTTTTTTCTTGAAAAGTGTAAAATTTTGGGGGGAAAATTTCACGAACATTAATTGTCACGCACAACGAGTCTGCGTGGAAAATGTCAGCTCGATTGGATCACGGGAAGTGGGTTAAAAAACGACCGACAGATTTGCACGGTCGCAAGCGCGCAAGCAAGCAAGCGAACTTAATATAAAGGATTTAACAAATGACAGACACCATATTGACTGTAAGGGAAAAGTGAGTGTGTTTGGGTAGAACACATAATGGCTTTAAGGGATAATGGGATATTGACAAGACTGGTGAAGGAATGGCAGTCAAAGGAGAGAAACACAACAGCGAGGAAGACCACCATGGAGAAGAATCGATGGGCTAAGCTCTTGTGCAAGAGCGAGACGAGTTGTGGATGGAAACGACTGTGAGAGGCCTTCATTCAGCAGAGGATAAACAATAGCTGATTATAGTGTTAGTTCAAGGACACATTTACTGTTATAATACTTTAATATATTGATTACGTTCATCCAAATGTATCGAATCGCGTAATAAATGTATAGTAATCGGTTCCCATGATCTCTACGGCCACTCATGGCCACACACTCATTCCAGTGTAAGGATAAATCTTTTATGGAATTGTAGCCATCAAAATGGGGCAATTAATTGCATCGAGTGAGGATTAATCTCTAAATGTATATAATCATAGCAATCATAAATTAATGCCCTTTATTTATCCAGGAACGCCTGAGTCTTAAGACTGTTTTTCAAGAGGGTCTTGCAATTGCGATGTTTGGCCAATCTCATTAAGGAGTGTGAGCATGACATGGGATGAAACCAGAGCTGAGTACACGGAGAATACCCACACTTACGAAGTGATAGCTCTGAAATAACCACGTACCTAAGAGGTTTATGAGTTATGAATACCCATAATTTCTAGCGTTATCCTGCATAAGTTAAACAAATTAAATTCGTTACAGCCATGTGCCAATATATGGTGAACTTGATAATTGCTTTTTTTGGCGTCATCTGGTCCAACCCATGTGAGACTAGGCTCTAAGGAAAGCTGTCTCGGGTGTGGACCAATCAACTTCAAGGACAGTGCATACATTATCAGAGTTATGTTTTTGTTTGCATTATGACTGCAGGTATTGTGGTCTATGCAAACATGACTCCTTGTAAAAAAAAGTGTCAGTTTTGTTGCCAGATAGAAGGGTAAAAATCCAATTATCATATTTTTTACTGGCAAATGAGGTTCCAACGGTATATGTTGAACTTTTTTCGCACCGTATGTAGCCAACCATGCTAATTGGAGGTGCGAAGATCTCTGCACGCCGGTTTGCTTGGCAATACTTCACCATGCTGGTCAATGAGGGCCCATGAAGTGCGCGTGTGTGTGAGTGAGAGAGGTTCAGTTATGACCGGTTGACACATCACTCGATATTGATGTTAGCCACGTTCAGGAAGCGAACCAATGGAGCCAGGTCCATAGCGCAGTGGGCAAAGCCACCGCTCACCTCCCTTCCACCGTCATTCGTGATGAAAATCTGTCACCTGTACCAACAGACAGAGAGCCCAACCTTGCCACACCGTTGTCAACTATAAATATATACCATTGGAACCTCATTTGCCAGTAAAAATATGATAATTGTTTTTTTACCCTTCTATCTGGCAACAGTTTTGTCAGTTTTGTTGCCAGATAGAAGGGTAAAAAAACAATTATCATATAAATATATAGATTTGTATCAAACGTAACTTGGTAAGCCGGCAACTTCCCTTCTGTCACGTGGACTGCAGAGCAGCCACCGCGTGCGGCAATGCAGCACCGTGCGTGCCCTCTAACCCCGGCCCTCACCACTGCCAACCACCCCCAAACCCCCTGCCGAGAAGCAGGAAAAGCCAACGGGCTGACATCAGAGCCGAGTGCTGTTTGCCCTCCCCATCCACATCCCCTACGACACTCCACCCACCCACCACACCGCCCTCTCTCTCTCTCTGCTTTCCTCCCCCCACCACCATCACCACCACCACCATCTCCCCCTGTCCCGGTCCGCCCCGTGGTACAGCCCCCTGCTTTTTGTCCACGCTGCCTTTGGAGGCCCCTTCCATACTGCTGCTGTTGCCGTTCTGCGTTCTGTGATCAGCCAAGCGCACGGGGCCGTGGCCATTAAGGGCGAGACAGAGAGAGGGACTGCAGAGAGAGAGAGAGAGAAGGGGAGGAGGAGGTGGAAAGGGAAGAGAGAGAGAGAAAAAAAAAAATTACATCACTGGGCGAGTCTTAATTTGAAAAGGGTGGAAGACGCCGAAGCAGAAGATATTTTAAAAAAGCGGAAATAAATTAATAAAGTCGGGTTTTTTTTGGGGGGGAGGAACAAAACAAAACAAGGAGGGAAGATCTTGGGAGATCATTTCCTCCAACAAAGACCACGGGATTTTCATTCGTTTTGCAACATTGTTCTTCGGAAGACCCCGGCTGCTGCAGCTCCCACTCATCACCAACAACCGGGCCAGCATCTTCATTCAGTGGCTCTTCCAAGACCGTGTTCGGAGTGCCAGGGGTTTCTTTATTTGTATATCTAAATAACAAACGAACAACCTCCCTACACTCCTCTCGTCTCGTTCCATCGATCATCCAGAAGGACACCTAAATCCCTCTTGCTGTGTGCGTCCTTCCACCCAGAGCGATGATGCACCGTTTACACTTCCTAAGCCTCCAATACTTTGACGCCGTGAACAACAACGGGACGCTCCTTGGTTTCAAGGGTGAGTTTTGATCGGCGATTTGTGCTGTCACTTTCTCCCGTGGCATTTTAATTTGTGTTCTTCTTCCTCTTCTCATCGCGTTGCGATTGCGGATTCATTTGTCGTTGCACGTTCGTTTTGGTGTGCGCGAGATTTGATGATATTTCATTAACAACAGCATTTTCCTTGTACGATGTTACGTTTTGCTAGAAAGAGTAGATGATTCTAGATTTGAAGCTTTCGTTACTGCAAGGATTCATACTAAGAATAGATGATACCAGAGTGGATGTCCGGGGGTGTTTAACCATGGGATGAGTGAGTAAGGGTGGCCACAGTTGTGGTTCTTCACCAGACTTTTCATTCTTTTGAAGTTGATCACCGCGTAAAGCGGCGTCCTTCGCTCTGTCTCCACGAGATTTGCGACACTTTGAGATCACCAAACTACTTGCACCGTCGTGTGCATCATTAAGCTTTTCGGGATCCTTGTTTTAGATGTTTGCGACGTTTACACCGCAGGGTTTTAAACACTTTGCTGCTGCTGCTGCTGCTGCTGTGGTCGTGTCGCATTCAATTCGGAACGTGCGCGACATTCAGAACCGACTTCCCTGCTGCCACATTGAAGTCAATGTGATAAACACACGGCTGGCATGCAAAACACCAGCAGCATTGTCCACATGTAGACTTTATTAACAATACTCAAGTTTCATAATAAGCAGTCGGCAGAACGGAACTACGATATCAACCCCGGCGATCTGAGCTCGACTCACGACGAACATCAGTGGCGATTGATATCTGAACCGGTCTTAGGTACCGCTTGCCAACCCGTTAAACAACCTTCATTGTCCAGTGTGATGAAGTATGGTCAAACAAGGCCTCTTAAGCAGTGGTTTTACAAGGTGCACTATTTTTAAAAGGCATAATGGATACATCTGTTCAAGATAATCGCAATTGCTGAGGGTCCTAGGTTAAACCATAAAGGGTTAGCCATTGTGGGCCTTATCTTGAATAAATGTTTACCTCTGAACAACAATTAGGTTTCCTCAGCCACCCTCAGGGTTGCCTCCTACAATAAGAGCCCCCCCCCCCCTTCATTCCAGCCAGGCATGTTGTACCTTTTAAGTCATTAAAGGTCATTTTAATAATCTACAATTCTCAATTGAAACGCGATTATATGCAATTAACTATGAAACACAATTCCATTATGTTTCTAAATATATACAGTTAAATATGTACTGTATAGATTATGAGCCTCTAGGTGTTCACCTGGTTAATTAAAATAAGCTTAAAAGCATTGGCATTATGAGCAAGCACAACTTTGGACCGGTTTTTGGCATTTTGGGTCTCATCGGTAGAGTGAAAGTTGTTATGAAGGGCTGCTGGTTTTCCAGTTGTTATTAGCAGCAAAGAGCACTCCCTCTGAACGACAAGGCCCTGCCACTTTCAGAGATAGAATATAAACCAAATTACCGGAGTGATGTAATGTAGATACAGGCAGCCAATAACCAGCGTTGCATGCACTTTATATACGAGTTACAAATGTATAGGAATTAAATTTGAATTCACAATCTCTGCCTGTCAGCAAAAAAAAAACGTTTATGTAACAGTTTGGTTATATGATTTGTTTTATTTACCTAGCATAATCATAGTTTTGTAATTACTTTTGGAATGTGGGACCTGGTCTGTTAACTGATTCATTATTTGGTTCCGAGACGTTACATTGATCTTTCAAATCCACTTTACAGGGATATTAACAATGTAGGTTTGTAACTGTAATACGTGGATAGTATTTATCTGTTTTAATCTCTGAAATAACTTTGCATTCGAGTCCGTGCCATTATTGAGGAACAACAAACGTTTCCTCTCCATACATTTCCCATAACGGATGCACAACAAGGCGTGTGCAAGAAACCTTTGGGTCATTTGCCGCTCTATTTGGGAGGAAACATTGAAAAATCACTTCAGGAAATGTAGCACTTTTTTTAGATTCACAAGGTAAACATGTTCGTAAGATAAACACGAGTGGGTGGGAAGTATACGATGTCTTAAAGGCACAAGAACACACGCTTGACGATCCTATTCTCCACCAACACGCTCTTAGAGTCTCAGTAAACCGTCAGCTCTTGCGAATGGCTACATACGCAGTGCACCATGAATTTTCGAAATGTAAACAAATCTATTTAGTGTTTTTAATTTAGCGTTGAGGCTGAGGATTGCGAGGGGGTGTTTTTAGAGTGGCCTGGCATTCTTCGCATGTTTGCACATTAAGAGGAACGTGACTGGTTCGTGCTTTGGCGTCACGAAGTGTGAATGAACGGCACAAGTGAGATGTGACAGGAAGGATGTCCGTCACCTCGTGCGTACTTTTGTTAGAGAGTCATTTTCCAAAAAGCTGGTGGGGGGGGGGGGGTGGAGGGTGCAGACACAGGGTATGGGGGGGTCTACTTTCAGGATGCTGAGAGATCGTGCTTAATGGCTGAGGTCTTTACAGTATTTTCAGAAGTGCCTCTGGGTTTTTTGTGTGTGTGTGTGTGTGTCCCTTTCGCCCCCCCCTCCCTCCCCTGTCTCTCTCAAGATGCCCTTTAAACTTTGACCTGACCGGCCGTGAAAGCAAGCAGGCAGGCAGGCGGGCAGTAGCTTTTTCTTTGATTCCCGCTGGCCACGGCTCAGGTTTCGGTGTGGCTTTACGGAGGCAGACGGCCTGTGGGGTTGAGAGGCTTTGGGGGAGCCATGTCCACCTGCTTTCATCGCTCTTGGGATGCGCTGCAGCTTTCGCTTCGGCCAGCCTCAGGAGTGTCGCGTAGAGGTCTCTCTGCAGGCGCTGCGTCTCCATCAAGCGGTGGTCCGCCCCCCTACCCCCGGTTGCTGTCATCAAGCTCTAGGTTCTAAAAGAAACCTCCAGGAGATTCTTCTTTAAGAGTAATAATGCACACAAGGTGATTTATTCAGACAGTAATATGCCCCATTGTGACCATAGGATTATTCCCCCCATCATGCCTTGCATGCTGTGTGACATCACTTGTTTGTTCTCCTTGTCAGCCTGTATATTTCCACTTCTACGCAAAGGTCTCCCACATTTTCTTCCAGCCCTTCCTTTCCTTAGTTGCTCCGGTGCAGTAGTGGCCTCCAAAAATCTTTTGATTTCATCCCGCCATCTCCTCCGTTGTTCATGTTTTTATTTGTTGCGGTTGCACCCGATTCAAAAGCCGAATGGCTCACAGGGTTATACCAAATAAATGAAAACACTGAAAAACTGAAACTGAAACACTGCCTTCATCTGCTTCTTTTGCCCTCTCGCGATCTCCACTCAGTAGAACGTCACGATACGACATGTTTTGACGCACACAGCCTTGTTTTAGACCACTGACTCAAAAGAGTCAACACTGCGGCCATTCTATGTTATACAGCAGCACGACAACGAGACAACTGTGTGGCGACTTCATGCTCGTTAGGAATCACCAGTGCCACTATAGCATCGTTGCTTACTGCTTTGCCGCCTCAGGGGCTTGATGTTGACGAGCCCTCACCAATTTACTGCAGAGACAAGTTTGGCCCTGCCCAAGGGCGACAACATACCGACTCTTAACACTTTCTATGAATGATGAGACATTCGTCAGCCAGTTCTTTGCAGCTGCGATATCAGTTTGAAATTGAATAGCTTTACAACCCGCAGGCCACAGAGAGAGAGATGACACCTACCTTCCAAGTGCCGCCACACTCTTGTGGGCTCCGTGTGGTATTTTGCAGTCGCCTCGTAGGCTTGGCGAACCACAATGTACCTCTTATTCACCGCGTTTGAAGCATGGCGATAACTAGTGAATTGATTAGTCGTATCGCGAGAAACCATGTAACCCAATGTGTAATGGTGTTGTGTCTGTACAGATGATACACCACACTTAGTCAAATCTGCAGATTGCATGTGGTGGTGTGAAGTGTGGCTACTCCCACCTCTTTCAAGATGTCTGGTGAGTGTGGAAGAGTAGGCCAAATGCCCTTTAGAGGGGCTCTCAACAGCTGCCTCATGTGGAAGCCCTTCCGCTAGCAATGGCGTGACAAAGCGATTGTAGGGCTGTATCTTTATCCTTTTCAAAGACAATTTCTTCCTTCTGAATATTTATAAAGTACCATTTCCAATTCGTGCCATGATGGAAGAAAAAAGAATACACCTTAAATGTTCACACAATGGAATAACCCCTCCCCCCTACAACCTCTTACACATTAAAGTTGCCGACTAATCATTTTAATTTGAAACCATGAAACATTCACTTTCATCACTAAAAGCAGCCCGGGCCAGGCATTCGTTCATAAGTGTCAGTTCGGGGTGTAACACTGAGCGTAGATCAAACGGCCACGTTAAAACCGCAAACCAGTTACCCAAGGAAGGGAGGAATGTCTGGCATAGCTGCTACTGCAGAGAGTGCCACCATGGCTGCCACGGGTCACTTGGGCCTGAGGGCCTTTACTGATGGCACCGCCATTGTGGAGCGTATGCTCCTGACAAATGTCCGCGTTTGGCTTTGAAGCTGCGTAGCGTTACGGCGCGAGGGCAGACACGTGTACAGTTACTCTGGAGGGAGAAGAAAGGGCCCGCTGGATTTGATGAGTCTGCAGGGCCTCGGGGCCCCATCGCGTCCCCCCCCACACACACCGTGATTCCAGAACAGGGTTCACCGCGCGGGGCTTGGGACTCATTTTTCGTAGCGCTTTGCTCGATCGCGGTTCTTTTGCCAAAGGTAATGTTGTGGCTGAGTTTCGTATGGCTCGAGTGTTGCCTAATTCCGACTGAATATAATGAAGCCACTTTGTGTTGTGTAACCAGAATGAATTGGGGAGGCAGCACTGGCGGCAATATTTGTTGAGCGCCGCGTTGTTGTGCTGCTGGCTCTTCATACACACGTTCTTCCAGTTTCACTAACTCGACCACTTCAGATGGACACAAGGTCACCCTGGTATTATTATATCTGAGGAGGTACACACAGTCCGCAGTGATCATGAAGTGACACGCACTAAACACAGCATGTGCTGCCAGTCGGTGACCTTTACATTGCAGGGTCAAGGAAAAATCCACTGTAATGTTTTAAGGTCCCTTGCTTGACTAAATTAACAACGCTTATTCAGGCTGTGCCCTGGCAAAGGATATGATTGTAAGTTTCACACCACACCCTTCTCCCTTCCTTCACCTTCCTGCCCACCCTGCTTCCTCTGCCAGCACTGCTGAACAATAGTTCAGATCCTCTTGTGCCCAAATAAGCATCTTGTTTCATCGCCCACGGCTCTCGCTTATATTATATATTTTTAATTCGCTGTAGGATCGGTCCTCATGGCGAACTTTGTCCAGCAAACAGGACCTATATTTTATGAAAAAAGAATTGGCTCTACTAACCCTTCTTGCAATAACACAGGAGGTGTTAAGATGTTCTAACACCAAACAGACACCTATTGCGAGGCATCACGTCTGCATGAACCACACACGCTTGTGCTAAGGCATGCAAACAAACATGTGCTCTGGTAGTATACGCATTGTCTTTGAAACTGATTGGCCTACACCAGGGACAGCTTTTTATATGGCCTTGTTTGACCAACGTCAGACCAGAGAACGTAAAAAGGCAAAGAGCACGAAGTCAATGCATTCATAGCTCGGGTTGAGCAGTTTTATCTATGGGATACTTTTTTGCCAGTATCAAAATTATGAAACAAGAATTATCTTTACCCTTCCCAACATGTTTTACCACAAGCATGTGTGGTTAATGCAGACTTGGATGCCTTGCCATAGGTGTCTATATGGTGTTTGAACATCTTAACACCTGTATTATTGCCGAAGGGTTAAAGCCAATACTTTTTTCACCATTTAGGCACTGCCAAAAAGGGGTCCCATAGAGAGGAACTAAATTGCCAGCATCCAAACACTCTCCGCAAAGCCCCTATTCATGTGTGCTGAGCTGTAAGCAGTTGGGCCACAGTGTGCGACGGCCGGGTACCCAGTGCACCCTTCGCTTGTTGTGAAGTTTTGAATGGGGTCGTATTGAGAGCGATCCGAATGTGAAAACAGAGCCGTGGATTCCCGGGCATGATAAATCGGGGAGGCAGTGAGCTCATGCGCTTGGCACGGGGGACCGGCCTGTTTCGGCGCGTCTGTGGCTGCTAAAGAGAGCAGTGGCCACCGCCAAGCTCGCCGTGAACTGTACGCCCGTGCGGTATCCCCGACGCTGGCGGCTATAAACAAAGCCCCGAACCTCGGCTCAACGCAAACGGCATTCTCTCATTCGCCAATCGTCCGTCCAAAAGTGTCCGTGGTGCCGTCTGGTATGGTAAAGATTCCCATCACGCCCCCCACCCCACCACCACTCTCTCGACTCTCTCGACAAAGTTGAAATCTGCTAATAATGGTAGCGTTATATACGGACAGGACAATGCCAAATGGCCGGGGGTGGGCATTTGAGCATCGTTTTGCTGATGTGGTTTTTGGTGTCTCACGGTATTTGGCCGATCGTGCATGTGTCAGCGTGCTTCAGATATTTATTTTCACTATGAGCATCAGCTAGTTTTGTGTACGCGGTCTTTTCGTTACGTTCGAAATATATGTACAACCATTAGCCACACACTGCGATCCAGAGCCCAATGAATCTGCATGAAAATCTGCCTTAATCGGTTATCTGTATGGTAACGGTATGTATATGAACATACAAGCACAACGTACGGAAATGTACGCGTAGTTATATCTACAATACATATGACAGTGAATGAAATGTAGACCAAGTATTATGCTTTTACGATGGTGGAAAATGAAAGTGTGGTGCAGATTACGACCATTTTTTTTGGCTTCAAAGGCAGGGAACAAAAAAGCCCTCCCTCCACCGCAAAGCCCCGTTATGTCCAAACACTGCCGTGCCGTGCTGTTCCTGCCAGAAATGATGGTGCCGGTTGGGAGCTGCTGAGGAAACACGAGAAATGTTTGCGCCGTGCGTGGCTAGAGGCACGTACGTCTTCTCCCCGCTTCCAAAACGCCCGGTGCTTCCTTGTGCTCCGTGGAACTATTGAAAGAGTTCTGTCCGTTTATTGCTTTCTGGGAAATAAGAGCACTCGTACCACTGGATATGAGTGGGAGTTCAGTGATAAACACGCTGCTATGAACTCGGCAACCCAAATTCGATTCCTGGCCATGGTGAACATCAGAAGCGAGGGATATTAGAACCGTTCCGACCTTCCGTCCTCGTCACCACCCTGTATTGACCAGTGTGGTGAAGTATGATTTAACAAAAAAAACAACAACCCATGACTGACCTAGTGTTAGGAAGGCTTTCATCCATTGGTGGATTGATTATGGCTGTATTTTTGTTTGTTTAATTGAACAAATGTTACTTTGACAATGTTTTGTGGAATCCACCGACTAATAACTGAAAGCACGAGTACTGCAATAATAGTACTAATACTTTCAATTTATATAGGGCCTAAATATAAAAAAAACATTTCCAGATGCTTTACCTAGTAACCCACCCAGCACAAACACAAAAACAAACGTTAGCTAAAGCAAAAGGTGTGGCCCATCTCCACTGCCATTTCTGAGTCGGTGATGATAATTCCACATTCCTATTGAAGGCATCATTGTTGTCAATAGGATAATCACATTGGTAAACAGTGTACTACATCCTATGCTGTACACTATTTAAAAATACATGATCTCTGCAGACATGGGGCTCCATTCTCCAATTTTGGCAGAACGTCATAGCAAACAATTTTACCACTATGATCTTGCCAACAATTTGCCCTGGCATAAACTCCCAAAGTGGCTTCATACTCTCCTTGGTGGGGCCAGTGATCCATTAGCATTTTGCCCAGACCATTGGTGTGAACATGATTTATCTGGCACCATGACATCCCAAAACGATCAGGAGCAAGTATCAGCCCTTGAATATAAGATGGAAACAAACTAACGGTCCGGTCGCCCTCTGTACAGAAACGGGCCAAATAAAGCAAATTGTGCAATTACACAAACTAACGAAATGTGGTTTGAGTTTATTTACTATTTGTGAAATTTTACAGACCATAGCTTTTCAGAAATATTTGAATCTGGGTCATGGTTGATTTTGTATTGTATAATACACTTTTCTGCCAAAGATACATACTTCCTGACTGTCATATACAGTGCAGCATTGTGCGTACGTTCCAAAGCAGTATGTACGTTCTTAAACGTGTTTATACTTTAATACGCAGTATATGTGTCTGAAAATCTAATGTTTAAAATATGATTAATATTCGGAATCCGTATTGGTTCATCCCCTTACATCAATCACAAACCAGCATTGTTAATGTATAGTCACACAATCCCCATGGCTGATATGGGAAAGGGATGTGAATTATTACCGCTACACTGTATATGGATGGAATATATTGAGGTTTATTTCAAGTACTGCACTTTTAAACAATAGTAAACCAAATGGAATTAAGTTTCATGTTGAGAAAAAAAAGTATAATGTTGACGTTTTAATTGTTTTTGGGTTTAGAGCCGCAGTTAAGACTGCTTGAGCATGGGTAATTTATTTTCTGCCCAAGGGTGTTTTTTCTCTTCTGCTGGTGCTGGAGAAATGGGTGAGGCATCATTACTTCAAACAGATCGTGCCCTATTTCCCTGAGGACAGTTATGAGGTGTGGCATTTCTTTGAGTAATGTTTTCAAAAGATTTGTTTAAAATAAAGCCGATCTCGACAGAACCTACACCTTGTAAAAACGCAGCGGCATTAACGCGTCTGCAATGCAGCATTTAGCAATTTTTCGAGCCGAAATTTGGTGGATTGCACGGAAACTTCCGAACCCCCTCTGAGCTGTCAGATGGTCATAAAATGGCAGTGCAACAAGTAAGACCTTTAAGTCCATCTCTGCTGAGTGTTTTACCCCCTTGTCTGTGGGAATTTTATCTTGAGTACTCCAGTTCGCTCCCACATGCCAATGCTCATAAATTAAAATGTATTAAACATCCCAGAGCAGAACACCTTCTTGAAGAAGTGTCTTGAGACTCACTGACGATTTCCTAAGTGAGAGGGCATTCATATTCTTGGTTCTTTCGGTAAAGTCATGTAGAAGGGAGGGCATTATTATCATTTGCTGGTAACTTAATTCGTTTTTCACTTGCTTTAAATTGGATTCCAAGGTTACCTTGTATCTTTATCAAGTTGCAGCAATAACTTTTTTTACCCTACTCATTTAATGGGCAGGCTTGTTGATCTCTAAACCCTTTTGCCACATACCGATTTTCAAAGCAATAATTGCATCTTTTTTTCGAGATTTTATATTGTTATAAAGCTGTGCGATTAGCTTAGAAAATCGGTATGTGGTAAAAAGGGTTCAAAGAATGGCAGCCTACCGCTTAAATCGCTCGGGTTGGCAAGCATGTTCTGCGAACCTCCGGCAAGGCCTGCCAACTCGAAGGCGGACTCGACCGGGTGGTTGCGATTATTTTGATTAAAAACATAATTACAATCAAACGTTTGTGATGGCAACTGCAGCGCTGTGACGCATTATCTCGCGCAGGCGAAACCCTGAGCAACGGTGACCTCCGGCAGGCCATGCGGCTGCCACCACTGCTGCAGGACCCCAGGGCTGCCCTGCAGCCCACCGGCCTCAAGCGCAAGTACAGCGAGGAGCTCTGGCACGAGTCGTCGGACGCCTCCGACGAGGAACAAGCGCCTCGGAGCAGCAAGGTCCCTGCCCTGCAGCCGTAAGCAATGCGAAATCGAATGCCCTTAGCGATCCGCGATGCCGGCACCGCAACCGCTGGTTTTACCCAGGGTTCATCCTGCTATTGAGGTGGCTACTGTCCTGGGAAATCTGTTAAGTCTTTCCCGTGATGTTTTTGTCAGATGCATTATAATACACCATTACCTACTATAATCACCCAGTGTGACGTCACTCCACATGAGGCCCACCCCGCCGTGTGACGTCACTTCACATGAGGCCCACCCCCCTTATTAATATTCATGAGTGGGTGGATTTTTACAATAACGCAGAGGAAGGTCGAGCTGAATTAAATAATTTATTCCGCAAAGTCGCTTCGAATGTGACGTTTCTTTACAGAAAGTGACGGTAAAAAAGAAATCTACGCAGCACAGTGCTACATCCGTGCGTGACGTCACTGCAAAAGAGCCCCCCCCCCCTTCATTAATATTCATGCCCGCGTGGAAATTTACACTAATGCACAAAAAGGTTGCGCACTCCACATGCCGCACCCCTCCGCAATAACAATGAGGGGGTGACGTCACTCCACATGGGGCAACCCCCCCCCCCTCATTAATAATCAGGAGCGGGTGACGTCACTCCACATGCCGCACCCCTCCCCTCATTAATAATCAGGAGCGGGTGACGTCACTCCACATGCCGCACCCCTCCCCTCATTAATAATCAGGAGCGGGTGACGTCACTCCACATGCCGCACCCCTCCGCAATAACAATGGGGGGGGGGTGACGTCACCCCACATGGTGCAACCCCCCCCCCTAATTAATAATCATGAGCTGAACAATTTTTCTATTGAATATTTTAGATTTACTGTAATTTCCACCCGTCCTTGGATGGGCAAAAAAAGCTCATTCAAGATGATTAATTCACATGTGGTTCTCTCTTCTGGTATTTGAGATATAGCTCGTATTTCCATGATACGTCCCGGTTTTCTTGTGCCTCACAGCTGAATATCCTGACATCCATTTACCTCTAGCTCTCACTGCAGTTTTGATCAAAATACACAAGGTTTGCTTCCCACTGCGCTCCTCAAACCTTGTCGTACAGAATGATGAAGTGAAATGGCGTTAGTGAAGGGCAGATGGTGAAGTGTTATATCTTATATAGGCAGAATTCTATTCTTTGGTACAAATATGTTATAGTCCATGGCCTATTGGTTTTTCAGACCAATATCTAACAGCATTTGTTTAAGCAAGCAAACTCTGGACCAGTTTGGATCTTCTGGGTCTCATCAGCAAACTCAGCTTTGCTATAATGAATGCGGCTGGGCTACCAGACCTTAACAGCAAAGTGATCCATCTCAACAATGGGGGCCTGTTTAATTAATACTATTGGTCTGCAAAACCAATAGGCTGATGGAATTTATTATTTTATCATGAGTGGATGCGCAGAAAGGGGTTCCGCTTTTAAGTTATTTGACACGTAATGCTCTGCAACAACTTAGACTGAGTTTGTTAACACCGTGACCTTAACGCACACAATTATTGAGCTTCACTGTGCGGTTGCTGGTGGACTTTAGCAACAAGAAACCTGTACGCGCTGTAATAAGCAGGGCGTCATTTTGCGTGAAATATTTTCTGGGTCACTGGTAAAATGAGAATAGACACATGTGTGTGACGAGTAGCCACGACCAAAGTGAGAGGTATGGTTATTGTGCTGGATGTGGTCTGCCGGGTATGGAAAAATTTTCTGGGTTACCTGACCCAGAGAGACCCAGATGAAACCAAGCCGCAGTAATATGGCTCTTTTTGTAATTGAGCATCTTTATACAGTACTGGGGAATTGTACTTTGCATTTAAGACATACTTTATGCATAGTTTACATGAACGCCTTATCTTCTTGGTTCTTTCGGTAAAGTCACGTAGAATGGAAATAATAAAGTAAGACTAATCGCATATCTGCATTTCCCAAAAATATGCTAAATTCCTCTTGATATGCAAATTATTTTGTCAAGGCGCCCTTCCCCCCTCCATCCCAGCTTAAATAGTCGCTCCAAGCCTGGAGTGTGTCATTCAGACTCTGTCTACTCGACAGACCTGCTCTCCACCTGAGGACGGCTGCTTGCGTTGTGGCCGAAACGTCGTGAGAATTATTTTATTATGTTTATTTTATTTTATTATTTCCATTCTACGTGACTTTACCGAAAGAACCAAGAAGATGAATCCCTGCAGTCACGAAAGCTTTAAATCGAAAAATGAAAGTCTCAGTTTTTTTCACGTTATACATCTCCAATCAAGCTGCTTTATCCCCTGTTTACATGGACGGCAGCTTTTGTTTGTATTCCCTGCCTGAGAGCGGTTTGTGTATACATTTTACTGTCTATCCTATTCACAGTCAGTCAAGTTGTTTTTGTGTCTTGGCTGTTTAGTGAGATGCAGATTGTTGGTCTATCTTCCTGGTTTTATATCTATGGCAGGTTGCACACTGCTGGGGAGATGATTGATTTAGTTATTTTGCTAACGGGGCAGCGTTAAGGTGGTGCTCTCACCATGTTGGGAGGCTTTCATCTAGCAGTGTGTTAAACACGGTCGGAAATAAATAGTTGTTTGCAGACATCCTTTTTTCTGCTTAACATTGAAGTTAATAGGTCTCGGCAAGTTCTTTTTAACTGTCAAGCAGTTGTAACCAGCATATTCTTCATCAGACAGTGTAAAGTGTTGAGGAACATTTCCACCGCCCTAAACGGGTTTGTTATTGTGCACATTTGAATTTGAGATAGCTCTGTTTTTCGCCGAGTGCAAGCTAATTCACAGGCAGGGCAACCGTTTTGTTTCTGGGTTCATTTTCTATCTGGTGCAGCCCGACCCATATCGCGTGTCGTTCAGTCGTGACTTCTAACGCGCTCTTGCAGCCCGACAGAATGTACATTGAGCCGGCTTAAAATCAGCTTAACACCTTCTTCCACGTATAAAACAATGCTCCTTCCATGGCCGCACAATAACAAGTGGGGGGGATGCGTTTCCATTTTGCAAAGCAGTATGGTTACGAACCTAAAATACCTGGATTGTCCTGTCAACTGCTGAATAAGCTTGTGTGCCTTGAACACATTCTCATTTAGGAGATTTCTCATTCAGAAATGCCTCTTTCCCAGTCAGGTTCCTTCCCCCCCCCCCACTATTCTTTACTTCACCACGCTGGCCAGTGTGGGTTGGGGAGTGGGTGGATGGCAGGCCCGGTTCTGAGATCACTTGCCACCGACAGTAGCCGTGGCATTGCGTAGAACTCTGGTCACCGGGTTCACAGCGTTCCGCGTTAACCACTTTACCACCGCTCCGTCCCATTTTTCATCGCTTTACCCGATGTTGTACTATATTGTAAATGCGAAACAGAAAGCTGCTGCCGACTTCCTGGGACATCGTCTGCAGCTCGTGTACGATAAAAGTAACATGATGTTGGCGGTGAAGAACAAGCTGCTTGCACAAGCAGTCAAAAGTTAGACCACGGCTAACAATTTAAAGGTCCCCATTGTATACTGTTTATGACAACAAAGCCAACTGAGCTCACCCTGGCAGGATTTTGAGCAACATTGCTAGGAGGCGAAGATAAAGCAGACTGCTGTCGCTGTTAGTTTTGTGAGAGTGTAACGAATGCCATATATAGTGGCCTTGGCTATCAGCGGGTTTCTGTTCAAAAACATAAAACAAAACCACAATGTTTTTGGATTACGCGAGGCCTGACGAAAAAGAATACGATCATTGTCGGATAAAGGTTTGGGAATTAACAAAAAAAATTCAACATTTTAAAAATGAATCAATAATGAAAAAGGCGAGGTTAAGTGTGTACAATGCATCGCATTCATGCTCAAAACAGCGGACCCATTTCTCAGTGGGCTAGCATCACCCTTTTATGCTGCTGCATTCAGTCTTCGCTTGTTTTACCCTACCGCACGGATTCCGCATGCTTATCCATTCCACGTGCCATATACGACAAATATCCCAGCCAGCTTTTGGGTCATGCTGATGCATTCCTGAGTCCATTGTCAGGGTCCTCTACTGGGGGAGGGATTCTTGACAGCACTGCACTGCGCATTCCACACATGCCATGCAAGCCCAGTTTACTGCTATGTACTTTTTTTTCTGTCCTTTTTTAGGTACTTAGGCCTCTGGCCTTACGTAAGGCCCCATTTTCTACTCATAAAACTGCTGCCAGAACCCGGGATATGTTTACAATCCGCTATTTTGGCTTCTGACCGGAATACCAGAGGGGGGGGGGGGGGTATACATCCAAGAAAATGGTCCCTTAACATTAGGGGCTTCACGTTTCGTTTTTTGGTGTTAGATAGCCATCTAGAAAAATGTAAACACGGTGCTGTTGAAGAAACACGTGCGGGTTCACGTGAAATGCCAGAAACATAAGCAAGTTATTTACCAAAGACAGCAAATTGGGTCATAGATGTTGGGTAATAATACGACTACTGCGTAGGCTGTGCTACACGGCTCTCCGATGTGTTTTCGTGTTGTAACAGTGTGCTGTTCGGCACCACGTATGACGTTTCGGTTATCTGAAAAGGCTCCTAGCACGTGACGCGAAACGTCGGACATCATGCCAAACAACAATCCGAAAGTACATCGCGGATACGTTTCGGAACGTCGCTTATGAAACCTCTAACTCGCAATACAATCCTTGCGCCGTGCTTTTGGGGTGATCCTACGCGGGATCCTCCTTTTTACGCGGCAGTAAATCAGTTTCATGTTTCGGAAAGTTATCTTCCGAGGAGAGCTCACGCTAGTCACCAACTCCCTCTTCAGAGCTCGGTGAATACTCCCTTGTCGTGTGTGTGTGTGCGTGTGGGGGATAGTCGGGCAGCGATGGTGTGGTGGCTTAGCGCTGCTGCACTCCGCTACGAACCTGGCGATCTGGGTTCGAGCCCCGCTCGCGACCAAATAACAGTGCTGAATATTTGAACCGGTCCCGGGCCTCTCCGAGGTCCATTCAGCCTTAAATATGTACCCTGGTGTGTTGCATAAACATCAGCACTGGGCAAG